AATAGAATGCAGCAAATCATCAAGAAGATAATACACCATGACTAGATGGGATTCATCCCAGGAATGCAGGGATGGTTCGATATATGCAAATCAATCAATATAATACACCATATCAACAGAGCTAAAGACAAGAATCACATGATCATCTCAATAGATGCAGAAAAAGCTTTTGATAAAGTCCAACACTTATTCATGATAAAAACCCTACAGAAATTTGGCATAGATGGACTTTACCTCAATCTGATCAAAGCCATCTATGACAAACCAACAGCCAACATCATACTAAATGCACAAAAATCTTCAGCAAGCTGTCTTACTTCCTCTGGTCAAGTTGCACTCCACATTAAGGTTTGCTTATCAGGTCTTATCTGATCCATAATCTTCCTTATTTGGGGATCAAAGCCCATATCAAGCATTCTATCTGCTTCATCAAAGACAAGGTAGGTTGTTCTTCTCTGATTAGTTTTTCCACATTCTAAAAAGTCAATCAGTCTCCCAGGTGTTGCAATACAGATTTCTACACCTCTCTCCAAATCACGTACCTGTGGTCACTTGGGAGCACCACCATAAATGGAAGTGGACTTCAAATGACAAGCTCTACAGTATTCAGCAGCTACTTGCTGCACCAGTTCCCGAGTTGGTGCCAACACCAAACAAATAGGCCCATCACTTCTCTCTAGGAATGGCTGATGATTGATGTGGATGATGGCAGGCAACAAATAAGACAATGTCTTCCCAGCTCCAGTCTGGGCCACTCCAAACATATCCAGTCCACTTAGAGCAACTGGCCATCCCTGAGCTTGAACAGCAGTGGGTTCAGTGAAGTTCTGCCTTGCAATCACATCCATGACATGTGCAGGGAAGTTTGCTTCATAGAAATGCAAAACTGGCTTTGGACAGTTGTGACATCTCACTGTAATTTCCTTCTTTCTTCTGTATGTCTCCACCTCATGTGCTGTATGCCTATCCAAATCTGGGTGTTCCTGATAAAAGTTCTTCTCCAATTTGGGCAGCTCATCAAGATTGCACATCTTTTTAACTAGGTTCTCCCCAGGATTTCCAAACTTCTTTCCAGACGGCACCTGCTCTACTCTTTCCAAATCGAAGAGCCCCAAACCCTCGATCCCGGCCACGGTCCAAATCAATGCTGTGGCTGGCAGGGAACAAAGTGAACAGAATCCCGTGCGACCAGTAGCTGGAAGGGGCTTCAGTGATAGCGAAGCCTTCCGGGGGCAGCAGCAGAAGAGGGACTGCGATGACAGGAGCTGGAACTGCTCAACCAGAGACCGACAGAAATGAATAAGGCATGTAAAGAATTTTTTAAAATCAGGCCCCCAAACTCAAAGACCCAATACAAAAATGGGCATCTGAGATGAATACCCACTTCTCACATGAAGAAATATAAATGGCAAATAAATACATGAAAAAATGTTCAACGTCATTAGTCATTTGAGAAATGCAGATTAAAACAACACTGAGATTCCATCTCACCCCAGAAAGAATGGTTGTCATCAAGAAATCAAACTATTACAAATACTGTAGGGGCTGTGGGGAAAAAGGAACTCTTCTCCACTGTTGGTGGGAGTGTAGAGTGGTGCAACCACTGTGGAAATCAGTCTGGAGATTCCTAAAAACTAGGATCAGAGGTCCCATTCAACCTAGCTGTCTGCACACCGCCCCCCCCCCAGGTATTTTTCCAGAAGAACTGAAAACATCATACCACAGTGATATATGTGCACCTATGTTTATAGTAGTGCAATTTGTAATAGGTAAATCTTGGAAACACCCCAAATGTCCATCAACTGAGGAATGGATAAAAAAAGATATGGTATTTTTATACAATGGAGTATTAATCAGCTGTAAAGAAAGATAAACTAGAGGCTTTTACAGGTAAATAGATACAACTGGAGACCATACTTATCAGTGAAATAAATCAGATTCACTGTGTAAACATTGTATTTCCTCCCTACTACAAGAACCTGAAAGAGTAAATAAAATCTGAAAGGTACAATAGATATTGTGAAAGGGAAAAGAAACTGCTCAAATAGGAAGGAGCAACTGGGATGAAGGAGGGGAGAGGAAAAAAAAAGAAGGAAGAGGGAAAAAAAAAAAAAAAAATTAAAAATAGTATATATATACAAGATAGCTAGGATAATTGTACTACTAATATCTGTTGGTTTATTGAAAGGAACTGTTAAAGTGTAATTGTTTGATCAATCTTTCATGCCTATATTTGGTTATATGTGCAACTATTTTGATGATGACATTATGTAATATAACAACCATTGTTAATATCCTATCACCATAGTCTGAAATTCTGTATCATTTTTATTGCTCTCTATGCTCTTTTGTTTTTGTTTTAAGCGGTTTTTTTTTTTTTTTTTTTTTTTTGGTCTTTTTGAGACAGGGTCTCACTGTGCAGTTCAGGCTGGACTTGAGCTCACTTTGTAGCCCAGGCTGGTCTTGAACGAGCAACAATCCTCCTGCCTCAGCCTCCCAAGTGCTGGGATTACAGGCACTCGCCACCACACACGGCCTATGTTCTTTTGTGTATGTATTTGTTTTTGTTATGTTGTTTTTTTTAAAAGTGAAAAACAAAATTTATATGTATATATAAGGATAGCTAAAATAGGTGTACTACTGATGTCTGTAGTTTTTTGAGAGGAACAGTCAATGCTTAAAATGTTCTTTTTTCTGGACCAATTTTACATGCTTGAATTTGGTAATTAGAGTGACTTATCTGAAAACAGTATGTAGTATAAGAACCTTTGTTGAACTCCTACCACTTTGTACGGTGAAGCTCTACATCATTTCCAAAGTTTTTTAAAATTATGTTTATTATTTCTTATTTGTTACTGTCTTTGATCAATCTTATATTCTTGTGTCTAATGGACTGAGCAACTTCGTTGAAGATAACAGTATGTAATTTAGCAACCACTGCAAATTTCTATCACTTTGCCTTGAGGTCATGTATCATTTTTGTTGTTTTTGTGCTGTTTTGATTTTGTCTTCATTGTTGTTTTGTCAGTGTTTTAATTTTTAAAATAAAAAAATTTTAAAAAAGAAAATCATCAGGTGCCATTTTGAAAAAAAAAATCTGAATTAATTTAGGCTGTGCTTTTTTTTTTTTTGTACTGGGAATTGAACTCAAGACCTCACACTTGCCAGGCAGAAACTGTGCTGCTGAGCTATATTCCTGACCCCAATGTGCTAATTTTTTTTAAAAAAACTTCAAATATATTTCATCTCCCTCTTTGCCTCATTCCCCATTCAGTGACTTTTATTTTACCAGCTAGAGTTACAAAAGTTTATAAAACTAATTATTGACTTTAATGATTGTTTGTTTCCTAGTGTGAGGAATTTATTCTTATCAAACAAAACAAAAAGAAGGCCTCAAAAATCTTGCTATAAGAATATTCTTGCCATCTTTTTAATAGTAATTAGCCCTTAGTACTTGGTGGGAGAATATCAGATACACTATAATTTATAATTTTGTTTATTTCAAATAATTTTAAATTTAAGTTTCTGGCTATGTCAAGCCATTTTGAGAAAATTGATGCCAATGTTTTTTACAATTATAAAATTGAACTAATCATCCTGCAGTTCCTAACTAATCCTTTTAAACATATGAACTAGGCCTTTTTAACATATGAAGTGTGATTTTTAAAATATGATGAATTTTTAAAATTGTAAATTTGTTACAGTAAGAGCGGCAGTGCTGTGAATCCCCTCACAACGCTCCCCTCCGCTCCCAGCACACTTCCCTCTTCCTTCTTGCCGCTTGCTGACACCGCGCTCCAAGTCCTTTTTCATCTCTTTAGCTGCACTGTTGTGGCTGCCTGCATCCCTGAAAGATCAGAACGTTTACTTTCATAGTCATTTTGGCCTTGGGAAAGAGCCAGAAGTCTCGTGGTACCAAATCTGGTGAATAAGGACACACCATTTTTATTGACATAAAATTTGACAGAAATTACCATAAATGTTTGATCAACAAGAATTGCTCACAAAATACGTAAATGTTTACATTTTAAAATGTTTTACAGTAAAAGATATGTAACGATTAATCACCCTTGAAATACTCAAAATGTTTCTTCTTGCTTTAAAAACACTGATCCTATCCTTGACAATGCATCTTTTGCTGTGATGTTTTTTTTTTATTTTAAAGAAAATAGTAAAAAAAAAAAAAAAAAAAAGAACAATAGCAAAATACAAACAACACAAAGCAAGGACATTAAAAATGATACAGGGTTTCAAACCAAATGATAGAGATTAACAATGGTTGTTATATTACATATTGTTATCTTCAACAAAGTTGCTCAGATTACCAGATGTAAAAATAGAAGATTGATCAAATCATTAAAGGGAATAAGAAAACAATAATTTAAAAGAACATTAGAGACAATACATAGTATCACTAGGCAGGATTGTAGGAATTCACCAATGGATATTGTACTGCAAATTGTTGTCATCACATAAATTGCTCAGATTACAAGATACAAGCATGCAAAAACAGTCCTCCATGTATGCATCATATTGGATCCCTTTTGAGTAATCTTCAGATTCTCAGAAATAATTAGGAAACTTTCAGTTCTTCAGTTTTGGTACGCAACTATTCATCCACCCAATGCATATTTACTAAGAACCTATAAGCCAGGCTGATTGTCCCAGGTTGAGGTGAAAGGCAAACTATGTAGATTCAAGTTAGTTGATCAAAGTGTTTTGTAAGCAGTAATAGTCCTCTCTCTATGCATGTCTGTCTGTCGGTCTGTCTGCCTGGGTGTGTTTATGTAAGTCAAGTTTGAGGGGGAGTAAATATCAGTATTTACCAGGCAGAGTTTAGTCTCATGTCATTAACCAAACTAAAAATAGACTGTGCCACAGTGCCTTGGAGCATAGACTAGAAGTCATCCATCTGCTCTCTGAACACTACAGAATGTGGCAATCCTAGACATTTCTGTCCTTCTATATGGGTCAGGCTGATAATTTGCTGATCAACTGACCTGTGACATTTGTGGGAGTAACCCAACAAGTTCTGTGCAGGAGGCATAGTGTTTGCTGGAGTTATTTCAAATGCAGTGCTGGGTTGTGCTTTGCTTTGATAACAGAGCTCTGCGGCAGTTTTCTTTCATCTACAAAACAGAGATTACAAGTGTTTAGAAAAAGCACTGGTATAGTTTGATAAGTACTAGTTGAGGACAGTTTTCTGATATTTTCAAGACTTCAATTGCAGTCTTCTATTACGGCAAGATTTTCCATTCAAACACCAAATAAATAGCAATTGATTCACTGAAAACAGCAAAAAGAACTTTTATCCATGGTGTTTTTCCCTTATGAATGAGATCATGATCATGTAATTAATTGTTATATGAGACTGAAATTACTGTTATAATCTAACAGCTGGTTCAGAATCCTTTAGTACTCAACTTTTCCTAAATCATCAAGTTGGCTGGTTGTGCTTTATAGTAACATCAATGGTCTATCATTAAATCCACTCATTTATTGAGCAAGTAAATTAATAAAGATTCACAGGTACAGAACAGAATGAATTAGCCCACACCTAGTCATTTAGGTTGTATAGATAGAAGAAGAATATCAGTAACTCCAAAGAACAATTCTTAACAAAAGCAAAAAGCAGTACTTTTCCTCCTGGATGATTTGGGGGGAAATCTTTGTTCCAATCTGATGACTGTTTTCATAATAAAGGCGTAACAAATCATTATTTACTAGGTTTTGTCTATTCCCATCAAACTCTGGAGCCAAATGACATCTACAATAAGTATTCTAGCTGCTGCGCATATAGCTCAGTGGCAAAGTGCTTGCCTGACAAGCACAAGGTCCTGAGTTCAATTCCCAGTACAAAGAAAAAGAAAAATTGCTCATGGGGTGTGGTGGTACATGCCTGTAATCCCAGCACTCAGGAGGCTGAGATGCAGGAGGATCGTTATGAGTTCGAGTCCAGCCTGGGTTACAAAGTGAGCTCAAGGCCAGCCTGAACTGCATAGCAAGATCTTGTCTCAAAAAGACAAAAAAAAAAGTACTCTAAGCATTACTGCTTCTGTAACATAGACGTTTTCCTTTATTTACTTATTTATTTGCCTTTGCCATAGTAGGGATCAAATCCAGGCCCTTATGCATGTTAGGCAAGCATCTTGCCACTGAGTTACACTCTCAGTCCTGAGAACTTCCCAAAGTGGTGGTCAAGTAGGATAACTTCTTATGAATATTAGTTATTATCACTAAAATATTTAAATCATGAATTAGGGTTTTATTTTTTAAATTAAAATAGCCAGGTGTGGTAGTGCATGCTTGTAATCCCAGCACTAGGGAGGCAGGAGGACTGCTGTGAGTTTGAGGCCAACCTGAGCTACATAGTGAGACCCTGTCTCAAAAAAAAAATGGAAATGAAGGATAAGAATAAGAGCAACACATAGATTGGTCTATAAAGAAGATAACTGAGCTTGGATAGATGCTATAAAATGCAATAATTCTACAAAGATTCAAACATTTTTCATGAATATTAAAATCTGTAATTTAAAAACAATACCTTCAATCCTTGGCATCTATGGAGAATTAGCTTCCTTAATATTCACTGGAATCTCTAAATGCCATAATCAACTAATACTAAAGTCCCTGATGTGCTGGATATGGTGGCACATGCCTGTAATCGCAGCACTCAGAAGGCTAAGGCAGGAGAACTGCCACAGGTTTGAGGCCAATCTGAACTGCATAGCTAGACCTTGTCTCAATAAAACAAAACTAAAGTCCCTAATATAAATAGCAGAGTGTCTGTATACACACAACTTCTTATACACTTTAAATCCTTTCTAGATTACTTATAAAACTTAACAATGTTATGTTGTATATATTGTTATTCTACTGCATTGTTTAGAGCATAATGACAAGAAAAAAGTGTACATATTCAGTACACATGCAATTTTTGTTTTTTATAAATAGCTTCGATTCACAGTTGGTTGAATCCATGATGCAGAACCCATGGAAGCAGAGGGCTGGCTACAGTTCGTTCAGTTCTCTTTTTCAGGGTGGTATATAAGTTAGGATATTCTGCAGTCTAACAGTGACAGAGAATCCAACTACAAACTGGCTTAAACCAGAAAGGAAACTTGTTTATCTGGTAGCCAAAAAGTCTAGACATCTGGCTTCAGGCAAGGCTGAATTTAATGGTTTAAGTGCTACCACTAAGGATGCAGTTTCTTGTTGTGATGTGTTCAACTTCATCTTCAACTTCAGAAGAAATGATGCCCAAGAATCCCAGCCCACTCTTTCCCTTAGGCTACTTCTTTTTTTTTTTTTTTTTT